CTATCTGCCTATAAAAAGAAAGATATACGTAAAAGAAAAATAATAGATCCGAAAACAAGATAGATAGATAGATAGATAGATAGATAGATAGATAGATAGATAGATAGACAGAGAGAGAGAGAGAAAGAGAGAGAGAGAAGAAAAGCAACAAAAGAAATCAAAGCAAAAGAAAAAGAGAATAAACGATTTTAAAGGAAAGAAAATAGAGAGGTAAAAAATGTGATTCCTGGTATCTTCAAAGATAGTAAGGATAATCGTAATGGTAATATTAACCGTTTCCCTATAAGGAAACATTTAGCATTCATTGACCGAGAAGCCAGTACCGCTTTCGGTTGAAAGTCATAAAATCTTTCTCTTAAACCAATTTTTCAAGAAAATAGGTTTCTCAAGTCCTGTAACTGTTACCGCTCTTTCCAGTTTAGACAGTCGGAAAGGGGGGGGAGATAGCAAAGAAAAGAATTAAACTTCGTAGTGAGGTCGAAAAAAAGAAAGAAAAAAAGAGTCGTGATAGAAAAAAAAAAAAAGAAAATATTAAAGATACTTGACTCATGATGACCTACGGTAGTTCAGGGCGTAACTTCATATCTGTGCGTATTCAGATTAGCTGACAATTTTAGTAATAGTAAAACACATAAGAAAATTATCTTTCTCCTTCTTGATAGTTGGAATCAGATATGTTGTTTTCGAGACATTAAAGGAATGGAGTTTGTAACTCTAAGAGTAACTGTCTCTGCGGTCATATTATCTTTCATGTAATTTTCTCTTCACAACAGTGTATCACCATCCGGAATTCATAACACAACCAACAGAGCTGTGTTATCATCGAAGTGCACCCACAACCAAATATTCGAGAGCATTGACAAAAAAGTACTCTGGTATCAAAAATTCTCTCTCAATTTTAACACCATCCCAACTAGCATTACTCAATCGTTGCGTCCGGGTGAATTAATAGGCCATGAAACGTAACCAAGTGCACCCAAAGTTAACAGAAGAGCAATTTATTAATTACTAGCAGTAGAGCCCGGCGTTGCCCGGGGATGTAACAGTAAGAGATAGATCAAGTATCGACCATCATAAAGACTGAAAAATAAAATTGACAAAGTTTATTGTTTAAAGTTGACGGAACGCATGTCTTAATTATTATTTTTTTTTTTTTTTACGAATTGGTCAAACCCAAACTCAAACAAAAACATTGTTTTCAATCGTTATGGATCTATCGATTGAACAGAATTTTATTATAAACAATTGTCTTGTAAATGGAATTTTTAAAGCATTCTGTATTTAAAAATAAAGAAAAAAGTGTGCAAGACAATAAGAAACACTACCTGCCCGCCAAAAAGTGAAGTTTTGTTGAAATCAGCTGAAAAATGTAGGAAATCCGATCCTATATATAAACGAACCCACACACACAAACAACCTGGGTTTTATAATAAGTATAAACCGATATGAGTTTCCCCCTTTCATTCTCATGATGCCTCTTAATCGTGTTTTAAAATTGATTTCGTGCAAAAACAATTGTGTTTTTCCAATTTTGGGCGTTGTCAGAACCACCGCAAGTTTTGTGAAGTTTTGTTGAAATCGGTTGAAAAATGTAGGAAATCCGATCCAATATATAAACGAACAGACACACACACACACACAACCTGGGTTTTATAATAAGTATGATTTTCATTTAAAAATATCTATTTTTAAAAAAAAAACTACAGACATCGATCACAAAGCTTCCACATTTAAGTCAAGTCTTTGTCATTTGATATTTTAAACTGGATGGTAAATTCTTAAATGATTAAGGAGTGTATAAACCGTTCTCTTTTGCCTTCCTCGAGGGATTTAAATCAGCCATTATCGACATCTCCAAAAAAATAAAATAAATATCAAATATATTCTTCATAAATCAGTTTAAAAAATAAACTATACTGCTAATCTACTTTGACTTGAATTAGACATGAACGTGCTTGGTGTCTGTAGCGTCTTGACCAGGGGTGCAGGACACCTCATCGCTGCCGACTCGTTACCGCCGACTCATACGGACTAAGAAATTCTATCGTTGACTTTTTAAAAACAAATAAAAGTAATTTATTAAGGATCACTTTTAAACTATAACGTTTTTAACATGCACAGGCTCGCTTTTTGCGTTTAATCGTTTTTCTCATGACTGAAGCATCCTGCAATGATTACAGTGTAACCTGAGATACATTTATTAACACTTCATTTATTACTGCATTGACTTTTCAGTGGTCTCTTCGGTGCGATGTTTCAAGGCTGTATGCACTTTAGCCACTTGTACATTGGCCGCTGACGAATTGTGGGAATGCTTGTATACTTCCTTGATAACTATTCTAAACTTCGTATGAATCCTTGCATTGCATCTAGAGCCTTGGTGACAACACAAAAATTTGATGTTGCTGTCTCTTTAACTAAACTTGTCAAATACAAATAAATGGGCTTCGTGTGAGAATTTTGCTCTTTTGACCATTTTCGGTGTGATGAAAAGTTTGAAAATAAACACGAGTCAGCCATAAATAAGCTGTTTAACTAATAAATCACTAAGGTAAACAGCCAAACTTTCAAAATCTCTACGACTCAAAGCCGGCCTGAGTAATGTCCACACGATGACAGCCAACTCCGGTTGGGAGGTGTGGAGTCGGCGGTGATGAAATGTCTTCACCCGCTAAACCAGAATTAAATATTTTCAAGTTTAATGACTAATTTTTCTTTATTGAAATTTAAAGTGTACCCCAGTGTTTTAGCTATTCTATAAATGCACCCTGAAGTAAAAAAAAAAAAAAAAAAAGTTGAGAAATACTGATCTAGACACTTTGAATGTTCTCTCTCTTCCTCTACATTTTATCAGGTGGATGTTCGCCCAAGACAATAAACTGAAAGAGACAATAAATTTCTAAATCATCGAACAACAATCTCCTCCTACAACATAACATTTCTTTATTTGGTGCCGATCGATTTTTGTTTCACTTTTCAATAAAAGCAAGACATTTAACTGAGAAGCGGACGGCTAGTCAGTATCAAGAAGAACGTAATAAGCGGTCAGTGGGGATGGATGGCGTGTGCACGACAGCTACGCAGCGTGAACGCCGGGCGAAGTGACTGACTTGTGGTTCATCCGTCTGAGTCCCAGAGAGACGATACAAACAAAGTTGTTTTCGGTTGGACAAGTAAAACCATCTCAATTAAAGAGATTAAAAAGAAAAAAAAAAACAAAAAAAACCAAAGAAAGAAAGAAAGTACGCAGATACCCTAGAGCTGTGATTACCAACCAGTGAGCCATTGCAGACTGATGTGCCGCGAGAGGATGGTAGGTGTGCCGCGAAATTTTTTAAAGAACATTATTGCAAGACAGGAGGATTTCTTTGGTAACGAAGAAAAAAATACTGAGTTGTTACGTGACATCTGTCCTTCTTTATGGCAGCGAATCTTGGACGATTTCCTCAAAGATGAAGAAGAGACTCTAGACGACGGAGATGTAGTTCTACAGAAGGATATCATAGACCGAACGTGTGGGCAACGATTAGAGGGTGCAAACAAGGAGGGGGCTTATACTTAACATGAGGAAGAGGCAGCTGAAGTTTCTGGGACACATAATGAGGAAGGAGGGCCTGGAGAATCTGATACTCACGGGTCAAATAGAGGGACAGAGAGACAAGGGAAAACAACGCATGACATACCTAGCGGCCATAATCAAGTGGATGACAGAACGTGGTCTGGGGTAGGTAGCAGAGGGAAAGAATTTGTTGAGAGTTGCAAGGGAGAGGAAAGGGGGAGAGCCATGATCACTTACGTCTTGAAACGACACACCACATAGAAAGAAAACAAATATTTTCGAAAGTAGTGCAAAGCAAAATAAGTGTACGTATCAAAATTAAAACCCTTGCAGTGTGCGAATTTATAATAATATATACGGTGAAGTGACTATAAACACCGAGATATACTGAAATCAACCAAAGTTGATTTCGGATATGACTCAGCAATTCCACATTGTGCACGTATTGAACAGTGCTCGAAGTATTGATGACGTGTAGCTCTTACTGAAGGTATTTTTTTATTACAGCGTTCAATTAAAATGGATAAGTTTTTAATTAAGAAAAAAAATAGAAGACGGCGCTAGCGATCATCTTAATTTAAGTGTGTGGGGAAAGTTCGAGTGAGCCGTGAGATCTAAAAAGGATTGAAATCCTTTGTCCTAGAGCAGCGTTTCTCAACCGGTGCGCCCGAACGCACTAATGCACCCTGAAAGATAATGCCCCAAGGCTTCCATGCCTAAGTCAAATCTTTTGATATTTTATATTGGATGCTAAATTTCTTAACAAAAGAAGAGGGGTTGGTCACGAATATCTGCTGATCGTGGATTACAAATCAAGCAAAAAGAGGTGTCTATTGATAAATTTGGGATTTCCATTCAACAAAAACACCATTCAATGGTTAGTAAAGCAGTGAATATTTTATTGCAAATTTCTACGTCATACATCTATGAATTAGAATTTTCAACACTAAATAAAAATAGATCAAATATTAAATGCATTGATCAGGAAATGAGAATACGTTTATCACATATACGGCCTACCATCGAATACAGGTTTTACGCAAGCATAGTTAAATATACAATGTAATGTCTTAAAAATAAATGCTTATTTCAGGAGACTTCTTTATTATTTTCCTATTTTCAAATTGTATGGCTAATTTTTCCTTATTAATATTTAAAGTACTACCCTGCATTTGAGTTATTCTACAAGTGCGCCCAGAAGTAATAAAAACAAATACGATCGAGAAACACTGCCCTAGAGAATAGTGAAAAGGTTATCAGAGTTAGCTAAGAAGAAAGTTCCCGTAAAAAAATGGATTAAATGGATTTACTGTGGAAAGAAAAATAAATTAAGAAAGCAGGTACACAGCGAAAAGAAAGAAAAGAAAAAGGATTTTTAAATAAAGATGTTCTACGAGCAAAGAAAAGAAAAAAGAAAGAAAGAAATCTTTTTTCAACTGAGGAGAAAGAAAAAGATATCGCAAGAGGAAAGAAAGGATGTTCTATGAGTTCGTATATTTTGGATGTCAGTAAAGTGGAGAAGGAAAGAAAGAAAGAAAGAAAGAAAGAAAGAAAGAAAGAAAGAAAGAAAGAAAGAAAGAAAAAAAAAAAAGAAAGAAAGAAAGAAAGAAAGAAAGAAAGAAGGAAAGAAAGAAAGAGAGAGAGAGGGGGAAGAAATAAGCAAATTTAAGCGAAGAAAAACCGTCTTTTTCTTTCGTATATTTATGACCTTCGTAAATTGGAGAGAGAGAGGGGGGAAGAGAAAGAATAAAAGAAAGATTTATGCGACTTCATTGCGAATAAAAGAAAAAAGTCTTAAATGTTTTTTCACAGTCGGAGAGAAGGAGATCTCACAAGAGGAAATGTGTTCGACGAGCTCGTATATTTGGGATGTCGGGAAGAAAGAAAGAAAGAAAGAAAGAAAGAAAGAAAGAAAGAAAGGTAGGTAGGTAGGTTAGTCGATAGGATTACTTTGTCATAAGAAACGTTGAAATAAAAGAAAAAAAGAAAGAAAAGGAATAAGACAAAGAAAGAAAGAATTAATTATTTAATTAATTAAGCGAAGCCATTCCGAAAGAAGGAGAAAGAAACTGTTTTCTTTTTCTTTTTCACCGAGGGGAAAGAAAGAGATATCGCTCCTATATTTGGACGTTAGTAACTTGCGAAGAAATAGAGGATGAGTGGGAGAGATAAAAAAGGAAAGAAACAAACAAACAAACAAAGGAAGAAAGAAAAAAGACTTAAGAATAATTTTCATAGGAATAAACGAAAGAAAAAAGGCAAAAGACGAAGAAAAAAAAAAGGGAAGTAAAGGAAGAAGAATCAAAGCGAAAATAGTTTTGTCTTAATTAATTTTACATGACAGCGATAATAAGTGAACTACTTATCTCGGCATCCATACCTACACCAGCCCAAGACCAGAGTAGACTTCATAAAAGAATAAATTAAGCCTACTGTCTGTTCCCCTGAGAGCTTGCCCTTGGGTACAGTGTTTTTAAGTTATTAAAATTGGAATCAGAACTAAGAGGACTGTCTGTGTTTATTCTGCGATTCAATTTATAGATGTTTTTAAGCTTCACCCCTTTTTCATCAACAGCAAAAACATTGTGGAGTCCATTAGCGAATGATCAGCGACCAGTATGGTATTGCGTTGACAATTAAAAGAAAACTAGTTTCCCTACAACATAAGATTGTATGTGTGTGTGTCTTGTGTGTGTGTATGGAAGGGTCTCGTACCCCACTTCTTGAATGTACATCTCCGTTTTCATAAGCTAGTATTCATATAAAATACGAATTTTATTGTAACCTAATTATGTAGAGTAATGAGTCATATTCAACAGAGCAGGTCGATTTTGGTATAACACTCTATTTAAAAGTTGGGATTTGATATGATAAATAATGAAACACGATATTTTATCCAAATCTTTACCGTTTTTTTGAGCGAACGAGCTTAAAGATTAATTGGAGCATTGGAATTTCATTCCGGTGATCAGTGAAAGACTTATAGCAGAGCCCTATATAATTTATAATTGAAATATATGCAGTTAATTGGTTTGAAATTACAAGGGATAAAACATTCTATAATCAACAAATGCATATCTTCAACATGATCCAAAGAATAAAGCAACAGTCGACCCAAATACAAAATGTCACATAAAAAATTTATAGCACAATGCTTTGTCAGCTGAATTGGAGTTGAGGGAAGAGACTATAAAATGTCCATTAGATAAGTAAACATTTATTCATACTTAATTATTTATGCCAATTTACAAGACTAATTTCATTGATTAGACTTTTTTGTAATCTTTTACAATTTTTATTTAAGTTATCACTTATCGAATGCAGTAAAAAATTATACATTTTGCTTGGGTTGACTCATAATTAGAATTCTGGTTTTAATATATTTCCCATTCAATGTATCTAATACAAAAATATAAACTTCATTTGAAATAGTAAAATTCTGTCAGTTTATGAGCAAAAACATGTGGAAATTAGGTATTTTCACACAATCTTTAAAACTAAATGCTCAAAATTGGTAAAAGCTACGAATCTAATATTTAGTATCACTACTTTCGCACTGAGTGCTATGTTGGTTTTCTAAAACAGTGACAAATCAAACTGTCCTAACACTCAGGTGAACAATATAGGTAAACAATTCAATTAGAAAAACTGAAAATAAATTAAATGTATCTAACTACAAATTCGAGACATGACATAATTAGATCATTCCAACTTAAATAAATCAACAATGTTTGGGGACAATTTTTAGCTTCAACTTGAGATTTTTCTTGTTAAAAGTTTAATAATTTTAAGATATTCAACATTATGGGAAAAAAAAATTATATCGTATTTTTTTTTCGAGATCAAAACAGATTCACGGATTTGGACAAAAATATCCCAGAATGACGTCAAAATCCGCGAAAGTTTTTCATCCTTTAATAGTCAATTGTGCTTACTTTAATTTGTAATATTTATAAATGTAGATAGAACTACAACCGTAAATTTCGAAATCCTTGACAAAATCCAAGGAAGGATCTGTAATGTAATCAATCCTGACTAAGCATCTCGATCTCAGTCACTTTCTCACCAACGTGACGTGGCTTCCCTTTGTCTTTTTTACAAATATTTTCATAACAATTCTTCTAATGAGCCTTTTTCCCTGGTGCCCTGAATACATGAATTTAAGTGTACAACTAGATACTCAACTAGATATCACCGTTTTACTGTTGAAATAGCTAAATGCAATTCCCACTCCTGCTCCAACAGTTTATTTTCTCGTACTTCTTGCCTGTGCAACTGTCTTCCGTTTCCTTGCTTCCTTGATTAAACTATAATCTTCAAAAATTTCAGTGCCACATCAATCTTCATCTTCTTTTCTCAATCATCCCTATATAGTCTATTTAATGAGTTTGTGTGAATGAATGGTAGAAAATGAATATTAAGGGGGCAAAGATTGCTTAGAGCTACAAAGAATAGGAAGTGATGGGGAGCTATTATCGCCCACGTCCTGAAAGGGACACGGTGTATAAAAGAACATTTACAAAGTGATACAATATTTTAATCTCGTGTCAGGCTAAGCTAAGTTTAGCCTATAACAATCGAGTGCTTTATCATGTTGCAGATTTTGCTAAACACACAAAAGTTTTGTTGTAATGAGTCTGATCCACACTAGGTGCCAGATATTTAAGGATTTTTTTTGTCGTGAGATGTTCACTTCAGTTTAGTAATTCTTAGCTAGTGTGAATACTAAAGCAGAATATAGGTCAGGTGATATAAATATTAATCTTACTTATTATAAAACGCAGATTGTGTGTGTGTGTGTGTGTGTGTGTGTGTAACGTTTATATATTGTATTGGATTTCCTACATTTTTCAACCGATTTCAACAAAACTTCACAGGACTACATAAAATTACCTTGTGGTGGTTCTAACAGCGCCAATAAATGGGAAAAATATAATTGTTTTTGCACAAAATCAATTGAAACACGATTAAGAGACATCGTGAAAATGGAAGGGGACAACTCACATCGGGTTGTTTGTGTGGTGGGTTCCTTTAAATATGGAGCAGATTTCCTATATTTTTCAGCCGATAAAACAAAACTTCCCTTTTTTGTGTTGGGGGGGCAGGTAATGTTTCTTATTCTCTTGCACACTTTTTTCTTTATTTTTAACATTCAGAATGCTTTAAAAATTCCATTTACAAGACAATTATTTATAATAAAATTCTATTCAATTGGGAGACTCATAACGATTGAAAACAATGTTTTTGTTTGAGTTTGGGTTTGATCAATTCGTAAAAAAAGAAAAAAAAACAAAAAAAAACTAATTAAGACATGCGTGTCCGTCAACGTTAAACAATAATCTTTGTCAATTTTATTTTTCAGACTTTATGATGGTGGATACTTGATCTATCTCTTACTGTTATATCCCCGGGCAACGCCGGGCTCTACTGCTAGTAGTAAATATTATTAATTCGAAACTAGAAATACCTGGGAAATGTCACGGCTTTCCTATTTGAATTTTCTGATCAATCTTAATTATTCAGTTAATCATTGAGCTTAACAACGTTAATAACATATTACAATAGCAATCATAAATATTAATGAAGGTTGTTATTTGATGAAGTAAGAGGGTACAAATGAAAATATTTGAAATGCTCAAGGTTTTCCATTTCCCTGAAGTTGTTTTTAGTGGATATCCATATTTGACGCCCTGTTTATTTTAAACAGTATTCGTTTCGTCTGTAGGCCTACGCAATCGAGAAAACTTAAGAAAATGCGCCCTTCGACAGGGTTGTGCAGGCCGGACGATCAAGTAAATACTGTTTAAAATAAACAAATTATTCAATATTTCAAATACAGGTATCCACAAAAAATGACGTTTGAATTAGTAAAAATATGACGGAATAAATCCCAATAGCTCTCTCTCCCTCTCACTCTCTTTCTCTTTCTCTCTCGATATATATATATATATATATATATATATATATATATATATATATATATACATACCTACGGACAATAATGGGCATATGCCCATTCACATCAATACAGTAGTAAATACTGTACGTTGGAGATTCTTCTCCAAACGAGGCTATGTCGAAGGGCAGAGTCTCATTACTGAAAACAGCTACCCGACCCCGTTTTATACGGTGTCTACGGGGAATTTTTGGCCGAGGCTACGGATACCTCGCATTAAATTTGGCCTTGTGCCACATCTGACCGCGTGGGGCAGTCTGGTAGATATCCCGCAGTTGAAGATTCATTGTGGAATTCACTTGACTCACTTCTACCAGTTGACTACTTCTACGCGCCGCTAGTGAATCTTATGTTTTGTTCTTGTCCTAAGTATTATCGTTCATTACCAACCTTCGTGTGATTATTCTATTCAGTAACCTTCCCTATTTGATCGGCATATCGGAAAAAAGAATATTATTTTACAAGAATAAAATCGCTGTTGGTGAGAGAAACCATGATTCAAATTAAACGGCTTATCGTTGGTTCTCTTTAAATGTAGCGTTATAGGAATGACATTTTGACTAATCTTAATTAACTTTTCATATTTTATCTAATTAATTTCTTTATTGATTCAAATTTCCCAAATTTTCATATATATTTCCCTTTCTCATCCAGTATTTATTCACTCACATACACATGAATTAAAAACGATCTAATCGAACTGACAGATGCTACAGAAAAACTAGAAGAAGAAGAAGAAGAAGAAGAAGAAGAAGATATGTTCGGGAGTAAAAAAGGAAAAAGAATGTCTAATAAAAGATCATTAGAATGAATAAATAAGAGCAGTTGAAGAAGCAAAGGAGACATGAGCAAGGACAGTTGAATGGAAAATAAAAAATAAAATGAAAATAAAAAATAAACATTGCAAAGATTCAGGAAGTTATGTTCTTTTAATTTTCTTGTCACCAAAACCAGCACAGATAACGGTGTGGCGTTTACGATCAAAGGAATTGGAGATGTGTTGCTTGGAATGCGCTCAAGATATAATCAGACGTGATACGTATGAAAAATTATTTAGTGAAGTAGATAAGATGTCGATAGTCGAAGGTGGACACAGCTTTTCTGATGTCAGATATTTGAGACAGGTTTATTTGAATAAGTATGGAAAAATCACGTGTCAACCTCAATGAAGACGAACTTCACTCTTCTTATAAACTCTATTCTACCATAGCAGTGGAATATTTAAAGAGGACAATGCGCTCTAAATAATATTAAGGAAACTGATGATCATAAAGAAAAATTCGTTGTGTTGCCTTGCCCGCCAAAACTCTCCAAATCTCAGTCCTATTGGACAATATCACTGTGCATAACGTCAACAAATGTAACAGTTGAAGTTTTTATTAGCAACAATATATATATATATATATATATATATATATAATTTGTGTATTTAGGAAGCAATCTTTCTTTCATGCATATTTCATTGAATACGACAGACAATATGCTCTGATTTAATTTTTTATACAATTTCTCATGTGATCCAATATTTTTTTTTTTGGATGATAAATTATATAAAAACTGTCGAACTGTTTTTTTACCCGAGCACTTTTGGCTATACATTTAGCCATTTTCAAGATTGAAATATATTAACAGTTAAGAAGAAAAAGATTGTTGTATGTATGTATTTATATAATGTTTCATTTTCAGAAACCAGTCAAGATACTGTGTCCATACTGTGTCAGCTATGAAAGTTGATATTATTGAGTGTTGACCGTGTCTCAAAAATGAAATAATAATACCATAATTTATTATATTATAAAAATGTAATATCAATCCTCTTATATCTTGGTGAATGCCGGACAATTTCTTCGCAGATGAAGAGCGGCGTTATGGTAACACAGATGTAGTTCTACAGAATACCATTGACAAAGCATGTAAGCAAAGGGGAAGTTTTAAAGGAAAATAGTGCACAGAATCAAAAAGTTGATTGCTTTTGTTTAGTGGCATATCAACACCTGTATGGATTATTTAATACCAAAATCTATTAGGTTGGTGCAAAAATAATGACGTAATAATGTCGTTTTGGACGTTAAAAATACGTCAAAAACGACATTATTACGTCATTATTTTTGCACCAACCTAATAAATATTTTGTACGTTATTTTAATTTTATTTTTGGGGTATAATAATTATTCTTCTTTTATGAGCGTTGTGTCTTCAAGACGTTGGCGATCGTAGCTCTTTCCCTTCCGCCTATCCCTTATAGCTCTCAATAAGTTTTGTCCCTTGGCTACTTTTTCCAGACCCTGTTCTGTCATCTACTTGCTTAAGCTTGTTAGGTACATCACGTGTTGCTTTTCCTTGTCTCTCTTTCCCTCTACTCGCCCTGTGAGTATCAGATTCTCTAAGCCCTCCTTTTCATTACGTGTCCCAGAAATTTCAACTGATGTTAAGTATTAGCTTCTTCCTTGTTTGCATCCTCTCCAAAACCTCATCGTTGCTCACACGCTCGGTCCATGATATCCTTAGCATCCTTCTGTAGAATCATACCGCCATTGCCTCGAGTCTCTTTTTCATTTTGAGAAGACCATCGAACATTTGCTGCCGTAAAGGAGGACAGATATCACGTAGCAGTTCAGTACTCTTTTCTTTGTTACCAACGAAATCCTCCTGTCTCCTAATACTCTGCCTAGCTTTTGGAATGCCTCTTTGGCCATCCCAATACGTCTTCGGATCACAGCTTCGGACTTACCATCCTCTGTCAGAAGACTTCCCAGATATTTAAATGTCCGCGCCTGCCTGATTTTAGTGTTGCATTTCGGGCTCATCCTTTTACTGATGACCATGCATTCTGTTTTCTTGTAGTTTATGCTTAGTCCTTTCTTCTCGCTCTCCTTTGCTACCTTTTGTAGGAGTTTTTGTCATTTGCTTTCCGTGTCTACTATCAGCACTGTGTCATCTGCGTATCTTATAGCGTTAAGATTGTGGCCGCCAATGATGAATACCGGTAGGATTTCCGATTCTCTCAGAATTGTCTCGCTATATAGCTTTAATAATTAGCCTTAAGTAATTAATCCATAGTTGGAAGGGAAGAAGTGATGGATTCACACCTTTCCTAAGAGGATTTGCGAGTAAGTGAATATAACGAAACCAGCAGGAATTAGAACTCGGTGCCCCGATTAACAATTCCAAGCCATTATCCATCACAGCACTCACAGATTCAAGCTTACAGCACCCGGTATTCCCAAGCAGTCACTCACCTAGGTAATGATCAAGCTCGACGTTGCTTAACTTCGGTCATCGTACGGTAAGTGCTGTTTCAACGGGATGTAGCCGTAAGCCCCATATCAGAAAGATACAGTTGGAATTTCTGGCGCACATAATGAGAAAAGAATATTTGGAAATTTCAAACAAAAGAGACAAAGAGAAATATTGATTTACCTGCCTAACGAGGTTGTGTAAAAGAATGGCAGAACAAGTAGTGGAAGAGATAGTAAAAAGACAACCTAAGCGCTACAGCGGATAGGAAGTTGTGGAGAGCCATGATCGTTCACGTTCTGAACGGATAAGGCACAAAGAAGAGGTGTCCACCAAGCCAGTTTTGTATGCAATTCGTGTTTGTTTTGCTTAAATCGAAATAACGAAGTGAAAAACTTTAGGTTAATTTGAAGTTGTATTTTATTAATATACAATATAGGAAAGGTTATTGGGGTGAACGTTGGAGATAAATAAACACATTTTGTGTGGGGAAAGCGAGAAAGGGTATTCTGGTGAGAGGTAACAAAAAAGCAAACAAGAAGGAAAGAAAAGAAGAAAAGGATGAAGGAAAAGGACAAAAAGAATGAAAGAAATTTAAAAAAATATATTTTGAAAGAAAGACACATGGGAGATAAGAGGAAAGAAAAAATATGTGAGAAGAAAGAAAAAGAATTGAAAAAAGAAAGAATGAAAGAAATATAAAACGTGTGGGATTAAATTGAAAGAAAGAAAAAATAGTGATAACGAAGGGAAAAAAAAACGAAAGAATTGTGAGAGAGTAGTAGAAAAAAAAAAACAAAACAAAAAGAATGGGTGAAAGAAAGAAAATGGGTGAAAGAAAAGTATCAGTTGGGTGAAAAAAAATTTTCTATAAAAGAATACCCGCTCGGCCCGGTGGCTAGGATCAAAGCTTTGTGAAGTCTCGAAAAAGCTTGGACGGGTTTAGATCTATTTTATTTTTGGCTGGGCCTGGGTAACGATAAAAGGCCCTGTGCCACATTCAATTCCTGTGGGTGAATAGATAAATACCATCAGTTGGGTGAAAAGAAAGAAGAATAATAAAACAAATGTCAGTGATATTTTAGAAAGAAAGAAAGAAAGAAAGAAAGACATGCATAGGAAATTTATCCATCGCGCCATTTTTTTTTTAACAATTTACTCCAAGCAAGTCGGGTGTGCCACTAGTACACAGGGGGTTACAGAGAGAGAAAATGAGAGGAAGGACTGGGTGTGAGGGTATTGCGCAAAAGAAAAAAAAAGAAGAATGGGGATCAAGACATCAGAAGAAAAAAAAACTCGTCGGAGCAGTTGCTATGAAAATATTTGTAAAAAAGACAGAGGGAAGCCATATAACGTCTGTGAGAAAGTGACTGAAATCGAGATGCCAAGTCAAGATTAATTACATTGCAGATCCTTCTTTGGATTTTGTCAAGGGCCTCGAGATGAACGGCACCAGATGAGATATTACAACAATATTCAATGCTCGGCGAATGGTAGAGTTGCAGACGTGTAAGATGGACTCTGACGAGAAAAACCTTCTGGAATGACAAAATGCATCAACTTTCCTTGCAGTAGATGCAGCTATTGATTCAATGCAGTTGTTCCACTTGAAGTCATTTGAAATCGTGAGGCCAATAATATGCAGTGAAATGCTCTCCTGCTGATAGGAGGCATGGGAGTTTCTCTATGGAGGCTAAATGAGAGCAGTTTAGATTTGGAAGCATTAAAATTTATATGCCATTTCCTGTCCGTAATTGGAGGTTCTTTTCAGCACCGACAGATTTACTATTCAGACAGGATTAAATGTTATTGCATAGGTACCTGCATAGGTGAAGCAGAAACAATATAGGACCCAGGATAGACCCTTGGGGGAAACCTGCGTTCGTGTGAAAGGATCTGAAAGCGAGCCCGTTCAGAATGACCGAGCAAAATGGAAACTATATTGTTTGTCAGAGAGTAGGTCATGAGAAGTAAGATTCTTAATTCCTCCAGCATTGATTAATGCCTCAAATACTTTGCCAGAAAGTGGCAGGAGACTGACAGGTCAGTAGTTAGAGGGGTCAGTAGGTTCTCCAGAGTTCTTAAAAACAGGAACTATAGAGAAGGACTTTCAACAAGCTGGAAATCAAAAAGCAACGAGGCAATAGTTGTATAGTTTGGAGAGAACTGGAGCCAGCTCGGGAGCACATTTCTTTAGGACAACGACTGATATCCTGTCACATCCACTCGCCTAATGGGAATCTAATTTAGAAATGATGTCCGAGACCAGTGACGCATATCACTCAGTAGAGGCTCAGTTCTAGGGGGGTGGGATCAGGTATGGGTACTTCTATTAAGTCGAGTGTTTAGTTGGATGAGAATTTCAGAGCAAAGCATTCAACCTTGCTGTAGATATTAGGACTTCGAACTGATTGAATAGAGGAGGGACTGTGGATTTGTTGTTGTTGAACACACTCTTGCAGAGCCACCAATAAACTTTAGAACCAAACTTGCGAGATGCTATACGTTGTTTCATTCTATCAGCAAACAGTAACTTTGCTTCATTGAGGACACACTTGTACCTATTACGAGCAGAGAAAGATATATATATATATATATATATATATATA